TGGCCTGCATTATGTGTTGATGATTCAAATCTACAAATATAATCACTTTCTTTTTTTTCTGAGACAGGGTTTCATGTAGCCTAGGCTGCCTTCAAACTTGCTGTTATAGCTGAGGATGACCTTGAACACTTAATCCTCCTGCCTCTACCCATCAAGTACTGGGAATACAGATGTGTGCCACTATACCCAGCTCACTTTCTCCTCTAAATTACATGGCTTTCTTCTTCTCCATAATATGAATTCTTCATGACCTCTACACACTGGGAAAGCAGAGGTGTTTATGATGAAGTTAATCAGAGGAAAAGCATAGAATAGTCTGAGCTATTTAGATTGTCAAATTCCAATATATATTTTCATATTAATGTTGCCTTATTTTAGAAAAGGAACAGGAGCACTTCTAAAGTAAGGCAGAGTCTTAATGGGGAAAAGTGGAGGCATGTTTCAATCACCTATTAACTAATCAGCTTTTTAATGAACTAACTTCTCATGAGCAAGCATGAAGGGAGGATGAGCCACCCATTCACTCCCACAGAGGTATGTGACTGAAGGAAAGTTTCAAAGCATTTCAAGAGCCTACTTAACTCTGGAGCTGGGTGAATCCAATCTCCTTCTATGGGCATAAGAAGAAGAATACACACATTTTTGAACATGCAAGTTATCATCTTTGCAAACCACAAAGCCAGATCAGGCTTCAACTCAGAGCCTGCAGCCCTCAGTCTCCAGCCAGCCTGACTGGGAATCACTGAGAAAAGCCTCTAAAATTAATCACAAAAAGCACAAGAAAGCAAAAATCACGGAATATTGCTTGAGTCACCACTGTGAGAGATTGGTTAAGAGCAACCTCATCCAACACAGGAAGAAAACCCCTTCCTTGGACCCCAGATAACACAGACAGAAAAAAACGCAGAAGCTTCAATGCACTCCTCAAAAACAAAAACAAAACACGGATGCTGCTGGTGACCTTGTTCACATGCTACCTCTGTTCTAGAGTTATGAGAACTTCATTTCTCTGTCTTCTCTGCTCTGGACAAAAGTGACCCAAGTGTATATTCACAATTACTTCTTTGAAAGTGTTAATCCACCCAGCACTTGGGAGGCAGAGGCAGGCGGATTTCTGTGAGTTCAAGGCCAGCCTGGTCTACAAAATGAGTTCCAGGACAGCTGGAGCTACAGGGAGACCCAGAGCCAGGTGTGGTGTTGCATACCTTTATTCTCAGGAATCAGAAGGCAGAGGCAGGAGATCTCTGTAAGATGGAGGCTAGCCTGGTCTATATCGTGAGTTCCAGGTCAGCTGGAGTTATAGGGTGACCCCATCTCAAAAAGACCAAATAATAATAATAATAATAATAATAATAATAATAATAAATCCAAGAAAATAAAAGAAAAAGTAATAAATCAATCTAGGAATCCATAGCCCAGTTGCTTGAAGTTTGCTATGATGACTTTTCCTACAGAAGAGCCATCAGTTTCAAGCTAAGAAAAGATGAAGGTAACATTTGCAGGTTAAAAGAAAATTAACTGCTCAATTAGTTGTGGATAAGGCAAATAAATGAAAAGGTTTTAAGGGTGGGGAACAGAGCTAGTTTTTAGTGCCGACTTAACACCACTCAGAGTCACCAGGGAAGAAGGAACCTCAGCTGAGGAATTTCCCAAATCAGACTGGCCTGTGATCATATTCGTGGGGAATTTCCTTGATTGTTAACTGAGGAGGACTCAGTCCACTGTGGGCAGCAGGCCTGGGCTGTATAAGAAAGCTAGGTGAGCAGAAGCAAGGGGAAAGCCAGTAAGCAGTGCTCATCCACAGCCTTTGCTTCAGTTTCTGCCTTGACTTCCCTCAGGGGCGGATTGTGACCTGGAAGCGTAAGTCAAATAAAACATTTCTTTTCCTAAGTTGCTTTTGGACATGCCGTTTATTACAGCAACAGAAAGAAAACTAGGACGGGAGCTATAGAACTTTAGGAGAATCATGTTCTCAGATTGCGTCTTACATTGCTACAGATCCACTTTAAAGAAACCAAAGGGAATCATAGAGGATTGATTGTGGATGCACAAAGGAAGGAGGCTCAAACCAGCAACCCATACTTGGGGGGATATCCCTGACCTTATATTAGGATATTGTGTTGATAAATGACTAAGAAACATAGATTGTGACATTTTAAGCTAAAATTAGATATTAAGGTACTTTTTTTATTGAGACAGAGTCTCCCTGTAGCTCCAGCTGGCCTGGTACTCATTCTTTAGGCCAGGCTGGCCTCGATCTCACAGAGATTTGCCTGCCTCTGTCTCCCAAGTGCTGGAATTAGAGGCATTTGCCAGCACACCCAGCTTAAGGTATATTTTTAAGAGTCTCAGTTTGATTCAATTGTTTTCCCCAAAACTATCCCATATATTCAAAATCCCAAGTTGTCTGTCAGGTATCAAAAACTATGTATGCATTTTTGTACGTATAATTCTAATATAATCTAACAGATATATACACAATATTTTGTACTTTATTACCAAGTTGATTGACTAGTAGTATGGAAAGCTTTTATTATTTTCTTACCTTGATGTGTCCCTACAATTTAAAGGACTTTATTTATTCAGGACTTTTGTTTTCAATCTCTAGTAGAATTAGAGAAGAGATACCCATGAACACTTATACAACATTCATTATCAGAGAAAAGGATAGATCTTTATACAGCAATAATGGCAAGAAAAAATAATCTATGGTATCTCAAGTCAACTGGGAAACAGGGAATTCTTGATAGGATTTTGAAACTATGGATTAAAAGGCCAGTTTTCAGACACTGTGGCTATTTTTCCTTTTTCCTGATGAAGCAAGTTGAGAATGCAGCCTAGAAAGCTGCTGGCAGGGAGCAGAAGAGCCTGCCACTGCAGGTGGTGAATGGCTCCTATCCTTTAGGTAAGTCTAGTCAAAGCACAGCAATTGCTCTTCTCCTTCAGCGGCCCACGCTCACTTCCCCATTGCCAACAGGCAGACAAAAGTGAGCAATATTTCTCGGAAATGTATTGATCGTTTTCCTTATCTTGATGTGTATTCTTAAAGCATTATTATGACAGTAAAGGGAAAATCATTCACTATGACAAGACCATTTTCAATATTATTCCCTTTCAGGTTGGATTCCATGCATATAGATCTATTTCACATGATTATATCCTAGTGTATGCAATTTTGTGTTCTAATCTGTTCATTTATTTGCAAAAACTGTTTTCGTATTTCCATTTATTCACCTACTTATTTAGCAAGTATTTATTAAGGTGCATATTAGAATTCAGGCACTATTCCAGGTACTGTGAGTACAAAGACAGATTAAAAACCAGGTCTGTGCCACTGAGAAACTCTCGGCTTATTGGAATAAACCAATAATTTTAATGCAAAACATCATAATAAATACATATTTAAAGAGCTCTGTGTGAACCATCATAATGGCTTCACATTTTCTACCTGGATAATACAATTTAATTCTCTTCCTTGATTATGCTTCATTATCACAAATACTGCTGCAATTAACATATTTCCTGTGTAGTTTTTTTTTCTTTTGTGAACTATTTTCTGCAGATAAATTCTTAGGATTGAGATCAGAGTAACAGTTTTATCCATATTTTATAGGTATTTACATGCCTTGTTACATAGGTTCAAATAAGCATCATATGGCTACACGAATTCACCTACTATACTGTGAACAGCCTTAGCACTAAATATTTTCTTAGATATTAATGAGCTGAAACCTATTAATTATTATCTTAATGTATACTTCTTTAATTAATAGCAGGGCGGAATATTTTCACATAATTAAGATTTTTCTCCAGAGCCAGATATGATGATATATGTCTATTATCACCACACTCTGGAGGTTAAGGCAGTAGGATTGCAAGTTCAAGACCAGCCTGGGCTATCCAGTGAGACCTTGTCTTAAAACAACAACAACAAAAACAAAACTACTTTTCTTCCTTCTGGGATCTGTGTTTGTGGCAAATTCACCTACCATTTGCCATTTCTCTAATGCCTTCTTCCCCTCTTTCCTAAAAATCATGGGCTTCTAAAAGGTCAACTAATATTCAGGAAACACATGAAAGTAGAAAACTTTTTTTCTACATACAGAGAAACAATTAGTGAAACAGAATGAATGATGAGATTCTAAGACTGAAGCATAGAATCTCCCAGACATGAGGGAGGAGAGCCCATTTGGTATCTTCAGGATCATTTAACCAATAGGGTTAGCTTTAGATAGATAGGACCAAGCACTAAGGGGAAAGTGGCACAGCGGAATGAGAGAGTGTCCCTAGTCCCTAGACCTGGTTTTGTCCTGTAGCCCTGCCTCTGCTAGAATCTCTTGAGGGTTCTTGCTCATCTATACAATAAAGTGTTCAAGATGTTAAAGTGTCAGACTAATGTGTGAAAAACCTCATCATAAGGCTAGGGGTGTAGCTCATATGTGAGGTTTTGGGTTTCATCCTAGAAATACACACACACACACACACACACACACACACACACACACACACACACGCACACACAAACAAAATGAAATAAAACAAAACAATCAGAACCTCATGTCATCTGTCACATACTTGGTTTTCTAATAAATGCCACTTTTTCCCCTTCTCTCTAAATCCAGTGTCCCCAACAATAAATACTGAATCCACATTCTAAGGATGGATCCTGTGACTATGAACATCCAGAATGTATCATGAACTAAAGCAAACTGGAAAGTGGTGATACTGGGTTGAATTTCAGAGCTACTTAGTATGATGCATTACAAAGACAATGGTTTCAGATAGCTACATATCTGTCCCCACCTAGCCTAGAAGAATTCCTCTCCAGGAACCAATTTCCTCATGGACTCAACTAGATGATCGTTAGTGTCTCATCGAGTTAGAACACTCAATGCCAAGGACAACGGGCTGTGCATGTGCAGCAAGGATGCCTCACGGCTGGGTGCATAGGTGGTTCTGATAGACACATGACGCAACAGTGCCACTCAATGATTACTTACCTCTCCTACCACCTCTATGATGTCCCCGACTTTCAGCTCAAGCTCATCATCATTCTGAGGCAGGTAGCTGAATGCCACCTGGCATCGGCGCCTCCGTCGTTCGCCTGGATGGGAAAAGCAATATATTTAAATACGGCTCTTCTCCCACACTAAGGCTTTAAAGAGAGGCGTCCTAGGCATGCAGGCAAAGTAAGCTGATTTGTGTCAAATATGCTCTCTGGGACATTGCTAGAGGCACGGCAGCCCTGGTCTCTTAGAGAGGGGCATTAGAAAGCAGAGCGATGCTTCTTGGATTTTTAAAAAGCTGCTGGGTTAGAAAGGCATGGCTATGAGAAACTGATCCACTGGTGCAGAAGGCAAAAACCCCACCCTGAAGCACTGGAGCACAGTGTTGTCTTAAACGGGTTTCCATGGATGGGGCTTTCTGATTGCTGCTGTTGGTTTGAAATGAAAGCTGATGTGATGTGCTCGAGAAACAAGAATGGTCTGCTTCTGATGCTAGCAAGGCAGAGGGCATTTTCCCCAAGTGCACAAAGCAAAAGAGAATGTGTCCTGGCCTTTTTCTTACTAATAGCCACCCTTTCAACACACTGGAACTCAGGCCTGATAAGCCAAAGCCAATTCTATTTCAGTCTATTCTTGGCACCATTCCAAAAGCCCCACAGAGTTCGACATTATCCACGTGTGTCCCAGGGAACCCATTAGCAGGATCCCTGACTGCTGCCACAGAGTCAACGCAAGCAAATCATGGGAAAGCCAGGGCCATACTTTACTTGACCCAAGGACACTCAGGGTTATACAGCATGTCATTCACCCACTTGGGGCCCATCTGGGAGCCTCTGACTTCGAGCTGGCGCAAAACAGAACATCCATACTGCACATGTGCACTGTGGGCAGAAAAAAGCATGCATGTAGGACATGTTTATGAGAGACAGACGAACACACAGACATGCAGCAGTGGCGGTGGAAGCCAGGGAGAGGTGGACAGGAGCTAGGAAGTGAGATGGACATTGTTGAGAGCTTGTTGCTCACAGCTGACCACCTCACACCGCTCCTTCATGCCACAGCACGGCCTAGAAAACCAAGAGGAGCAACAACTTCAAAGAAATGCATTTAGAAACGCTGGAATTATTTCTGGGTACTGCCTCTGGGGATTCTTTTTCTTTTCTAATCTTTTCCCTGAAAAAAGTCTCTGCAGGGGTGATGACAGGGTACATTAGGCTCTCATACCACATGACATCATACAAAGGGAAAGGTGTCAGAACTACATCTATAGACTCCCTGATCAATATTTTTCAAAAGCCAGTGGCCTAGTTCTCTGCTTCATTTTTCTCTATCTGTACCTCACTAAGGAAGAACAGGGCTGAACACAAAGGAGGGGGCAGAAGTTCAGAATCAATATCTTGTCTAATCATGTCTTCAGCTACCACACTAATGATCTCCACCTCTTTGTACAGTCACAAGCTGCTGGATCTTAGTACAAACAAACACAGAGCTCTCAAGCCCATCTAAGGTAACCAATGGAGCCTGTCAGCAAACAGCCACCAATAAGAAGGCCTGGTGTAGGCCAGAGGATTCTACACTACCTTCCTTCTCCAAAGAGCAAGGCTAGAGGACTGGTATTCCAATGCAAAGCATGCTTCCATTAAAGTTGGGTGTGATGGTACAGGCCTGTAATCCCAGCACTCAGAGGGCTGAGGTAGGAGGGTCCTAAGTCTGAGGACAGACTGGGATATAGAGTAAGACCTTGTTTAAAAGAAACAAGTAAAAACTACTACTGCTCTCTACAGCTCCTGACACCACAGAAGGCCAATCAAGTACTCACCACTATAAAGTACACAGATTTCTCATTCTAGCAAAGAAAATCTGGATGAAAAAGCAAGCTTGGTATTTGTGCCTGCCCCATATAGATCCCTTATGATGAACTTCTATGAGTTTGTAAGTTTCTATATTCTAATTTTTTACATTTTATTTATATGGGGCACACATGTGCCCCAGTGCACATGTGAAAGACAGAAGACAACTTGGGGGAGTTAGTTCTCTCCTTTCACCATGTGGGTCCTGGGGACTGAACTCGGGTCACCGGTGGCAGATGCCTTGACCCACTGAGCCATCTCACCAGCCCCCATTTTCTAAATTTTATGCTGAAATGAACTCTGAAGACACAAATCTGATTGTGAAACAAGTGAAACAGTGTATGTCTGAAAATAGACACAATCATAGAAGCCACCAAAATCCAGACCAAGGTGAGGTAACAGTATTATAAGACCAAGTATTGGCTAAAGTCATAAAATTTGCAAGTAATTGTTAAGGGAGGAAGGACAGTAAATTAAAGGTAAATGAAAGTAATGAGGCAGAATAGTAGGCATGGGAAGGCTTAAGCAGGAAGGGGCGTGGGAGTATGGGGAACTCAGGGGGTGAGGGAAGGGCTAACCCAAAGGAAGGGTAGGAAAAGTCATGGACGCCTACTATCTCACAACCCAATTTAAAGAAATAGTGGAACACATGTGATATGAAAGAAGAGGGGAGAATGCTGAGGGTTAAGGGATTAAGTGGAGACAGGGGTGAGGAGTCGGGTAGTGAGTAGGTTTAATCAAACTCAGGATCTACAAAAAAAGCCTTATGGAAACCAGTAGTCAGTAAACTAACTTCACAATACAACTTTGCCAGCATACCAACAAACAAAAAAAGCCCTAGAGGGCACAAGGAAAGGACTCAGAGGCAGCTGATGTTAAAGGTCACCTGACTTGAATGCATGCAGAAACCCTTATCCTCCCTACATTAGGAAAGCTTATGATACCCATCACTGTATCTCATCCTGCCAGCCATGAGGTTTTTAAAAAAGCCATGATGAACGGCCATTCTTTTTTTACAACTGAAGAAAGTGCTATATCATCTCACCAACTACATAAGTTTTTTTTTTTTTAAGCCAGGATGAACAACCATTTTGCAAATGAGGAAACAAGAGATTGGTACAGAAATCAGTGACTCACCCAGGATCACTAGGCTAGTAAGTGGCAGTATTTACTTGGCCTGGATTCAGAGGTCTCTCTCCACTCCTAAATGAACCGATTCAGTTGTTATCTAGTCCCAAATTTTTAGCAACCAGTATTAGCTGCTTCCAACACTCTATGACATCACCCCAGGTTTTCACCATGGCTTTCACTATAGAAAGCTCCCAAACTCCGGGACTGCTGCTTTACCAGGCCTTGGCTCTGCATATTACTAATCTGAACTTATGTGCCATTTCTACAATTCAGTTTGGGGAAAAGGAGGAGAGTGAAGTTGGGAGAAATTCTATTTCATTTGTATTCACCCATAAGAAGTTTCAGGATGTCTTTTGCCAATTTTTCCTGTCCTACTATTTCACTGATATCTACTAGTGAATTATGACCGTCCTTGAAAAGTTATGGCAACTACATCATTTCCTATTTATTTATTTATTTTTAGAATTGGAAAGACACATGATTTGTCCATGGCTAAGATTTGGAATCCCTTATTTTGAGCCACCATCTTCCTGTTCAAATAAACCTGTATATGTACATGCATGCACACACACACACACGCACACACACACACACACACACACAAACACACATGCGCATGTGCACACATAATGAGCATGGGCAAAATAAATATCTATCACTATGTAGTTTGAAGGCAGGGTCACTTAGCTCCCTATATGTAACTGAAACAAATAATGACATACTGCATATGCAAATATATATATACATACATGGCTTACCAGAAAAATAGGAATAAGAAAGATTCCCCAAGGCATATTTAATACATCCCTACTTTAAAGCCTTTATAGAATGCTGGCCCTGAAACACACATACATGAGCATGCATTCATATGCAAGAACACAGGCATACACATATGATAAATCAGGCGTACCCTTAACTCTCTCACTAGAACTAACAAGTTTGGTTAATAAAATAACATTAGCTAACATTTACTGATCACTTTTACTCAACGCCTAAGACTACCGGGGACTTCACCCTGTATTATGCAATTTCATTTCAGATTGAATCTCTAGGTAGATTACTGACCCCATTTTATAGCCGATGAGTTTGAGGAGGACACAGAGATCAATTATTTTACCAGATGTCTTACAGCTTTTCATTACAAGGCCTAGAATTTCAAACCAGGTGATATAATTCTAGAGACATTGATGCCTATGCATCTGGCTGTTCTTAAAATGAATTTTCAGCTGTCTTGAGAATTCAGAAAGAAGTGCATGTGGGGATCAGCAAGATAGCTCACTGGGTAAGGGTACTTGCTGCACAAGTCTGGCAGACTATTTCAATTCCTAGAACCCACAAAAGGTAGAAGGAGAGAAATGATACCACAATGTTGTCCTCTGACCTCCACTCCCCACTCTAACAGCGATATTTTTTTAAAGGATGGGGTGAGGTAGTATAGTTCATGACTAAAAGATGAAATTAGAAGTGAAAAGACGCAAATCAGGGACATTTTCTATAGCTACTGGGAACTGGTCCCCCACTTGAATGAAATGTCACTAGTTAGCTGGGAAAGCAATGCTGTATACTCACCTTCTCTGAGAACAAAACTGCAGAAACTGAAAAGCACATCATGACTCAAGTCCCAGAAACAAGACACATGTTAGTATTTTAGACTCTTCAGCCTACAGTCTTATGGTATGTGAAACCATACTAGATCAAATTGCACAAAAATTCAATATATATATATATATTATATAGATAGATGATGATAGATGATAGATAGATGATAGATAGATGATAGATAGAGATAGATAGATAGATAGATGATAGACAGACAGACAGACAGACAGATAGATAGAATGAAAAAAATTGTTCAGTGACCACAAAACTATAACAAATAATGTCATGCCAAGAAGTCTTTGGGTCAACTGACAACTTTCAACACTCCCACTTTCCATTTTTTAATATCACACAGCTTTTCCAACAGAAGAAACCAATAAGGCTTTAAATTCTTTGGCACTTGGGTAGTAGGGATGTAGCTGCTTTGGTAACAATGTTTACCCAGCCTTCAGAAAGCCCTGTGCATAAACTAGGTGCAATGGCACACACCTGTAATCCCAACACTTTGAAGGTAGAAG